GGGAGAAAACAGTGTACACAGAAAACTTGGAGAGAACAATTTGAGCTAAAGTCACATAAAGCAGCAGGAACTGGACCAACAAAGGACTAAATAGCGTTTATGCATTTTCAAATATGTTTATGATTATTTGGTTATTTATTGAACACTAATTCCACACAGAAAATACTGGTTAGGTAGTTGAAGAAGAGGAGATGCAAGAGTTCACTACAAACTTGAGTTGTCCCCACCCCCAACCCCGCAATTCCACAAACTATAAGTGAAGAAAGGTGTCTTTTATATATTTATTGCAATCTCTGTATGAACAGCCTTTTCATATCCACTGCCTATTATTTATTGGGTGATCTTGATTTGTAAGAGTCCTTTATAGATTATTAATCCTCCTCTGTCATGTACATTGTGAAATATCTTCCTAGTTTGTCATTTGTCTTTTAACTTTAAGAACATTTTTTGATGTATGGAAGGTTTTAATTTTTATGTAGCCTCATGTTGTGTTTGGAAAGGGCTTTGTTACAGCTTCCTCATTGATTTCCTGAACCAAGTTGTTCACAAATGAAAACCTTTGTTCATGTTGAATTTTCTGATTACACCTACCATTCTCCTTTAAACATAAGGGAATCAGAAATGCTTTCCATCTCCAAGGCTTATTTGCTTGGTTGAACTCATTCGTAGCATTTGTCCTTATCATCATCTAGCTTGGACTTTAATTCCCTGGATGATGTCTGTTCTCTTATCACTGGGCCATTTGTACTAAGCCTTAAGCTACTGAGTCACTCATTGTTTATCTTTTTTTTTTTTTTTTATCCAAGGAGACAGAAAACCTAAAACTAGACGTAAATCAAAAAGCACAGTACTTTCAAGCAAGCAACTGTAGAGACAAAAATAGTTTGACACCCTCTAATAAGCTCTAATATGCTCTAAGCAAAGTACCATAACGTATGCAAGTCAACAAGTTAAAATATAGGCAGCTTCTCCTGTTTAAGAAGCACAGCACATGTATAATAGGTTTTAGAGATATTCTAATTACATCGCTTTAAATAAATTGTCACTTTAAGGGGAAGTTTTGGCTCTTTAAGCAGTTTTTCACAGTGGTAGCTCCTGAGTCAGCCTCTCTGAAATGTGTCAGGACCTTTGCAGACCATTCTTCTTTTTCCCATTCCCACATAGCCTAAGAAATAAAAAACAAAATGCATTTCTCCTCAGAGATGCACGTAGCAGTAAGAAGTGGGAAAAATGGGGCCTATTGTAGTATACCTCTATATACTTATAAACATGTACTGTTGACTCTCATAAATTCATGTTTAATCTTTTCAAATCCTGTTTCAACTACGACAGTTTGTAATGAGCTCTCCAGGTCAGAGAACACTTTAGCATTCGTTACTTCATTTTGCTACATAATAACCTGTGGCTTAGGTATCCCATTTTGCCACGGTGGGAGAGTGGGCTGTGGTTCTACCTGAACTGAGGGGAAATGCCTGTAAGGCCATGAGCATTCATTTCTAGAAGATGCCATCTCAAAGTTTTGGCCAATTGAAAATTCATGTAGTATTATTACACAATGACATCTGCATTCCATTGTTTAAGAAAAGAGAAAATCATTCATACTAAAGGACTGTGTCCGTAACGAGACACGCTAGAATACACCATCTGAGTTCATTGAAGGACAGGAGTTTGGGCGCGGCCTTTATTCTTTACTTCTTTCTTGTGTTCTAGATCCATCACTCGCGCCTACTACAGGAACTCAGTAGGTGGCCTTCTCTTATTTGACATTACCAACCGCAGGTCCTTCCAGAATGTCCATGAGTGGTTAGAAGAGACCAAAGTACATGTTCAGCCCTACCAAATTGTATTTGTTCTGGTGGGTCACAAGTGTGACCTGGATACACAGAGGCAAGTGACTCGCCACGAGGCAGAGAAACTGGCTGCTGCATACGGCATGAAGTACATTGAAACGTCAGCCCGAGATGCCATTAACGTGGAGAAAGCCTTCACAGACCTGACAAGAGACATCTATGAGCTGGTTAAAAGGGGGGATATTACCATCCAGGAGGGATGGGAAGGGGTGAAGAGTGGATTTGTACCAAATGTGGTTCACTCTTCAGAAGAGGTTGTCAAGTCAGAGAGGAGATGTTTGTGCTAGTCAGCCCTTTTATTTCCAAAACGGCTCTCCCACCTGAACTTAAAAGTGATGAAAATGAAGAGAATCCTTGCGTGACTGAAGAGAACTCAGCCTCCATTTTACATACAAGGGAGCCTCCTTCTCCAGGGGTCTTGGACAGGCCGTGGAGTAGATGTGGGAGCCTGGGTGCTGGGAGTGAGGGACTCATTTCGGCGACTGTTTGTGGCCCATTGTGAGTGGACCACATGTCAAGGGGCTGAGGTTTGGGGAGCTGGGCCCAGAAAAATACAACCACAGACAGGACAGCTATTTCTTGGTATTTCAGCTCATTCATAGGTCACAAGCATAAATCTGTAAAGGGGGAAAAAGTATCACATTGGAAACAATAAGCCAAACTAAAAAAGACTACGAGATCAACTTAATCAGTGAGAATATCCTACACCAAGTGTGTGTGCTGGGTTGGGTGCAAGGGTACCAATTAGCTTCCAAACAGCTTGTCTGTAAAATGAGGGGCACGGACCAGCTATTTACTAAGACCGTTTCGAGGCCTGTTGTTCTAGTAAAAATGCCGTGTGTATGAAGAGGGAAGCCATTATATGTATTGCTTTTATCACATTCCAGAAAATGTACACCCTTATGATGGAATAACCAACTGTGTGAAAGAAATTGTGCCATGCAAATTACCATATAAGTAGAAGAAAGGAACCCTGTAACCCATGCCATGCCCTCTTCCCTCAGCCCCCCAGCCCAGATCATGCCCGGGGTTTCTCTGCAGGGGCAGCTGCTGCCTAAAAAGTGCACAACCTGCCTGTCCCTTCAGGTTCCTGGCGACAACAGTACAGGGACTGCCTCTGCAAAGAGCCCTGAGGCAGACATTTGCTCAGCAAGAGGCACCACGGCACCCTCACAAACACTTCACCGTCACTTGAATTCACAGCAGGCCTCTGAGATTTTCTTCCCCATTTTACAAAAGAGTAAAACTAAGAAGCAGGAGCCTCTTTCTGCCAGGGTGAAGGTCTCCTGACTCCTAGTTCTTGTTCCTGCTGTCGGGTGAATGAACCGTTATTAATTTGTTTACTTTGGAAGAGCTATGACTGTAAATAAATGTTCTCGACATGTTAGGGTGTTTCCTTATTGCTTACGACTCAGCTGTCATCCTGAGGGAACCTGGGGATGAAACGAAGGTAAAGCCATTTCAGGTATTACTGACAAGTAGGCTTTAAATGAGTGAGTAATTGCACAACTAAAAACACATTAAAACTGTGTGCGCTACAAGCGTTCTTATCACTGAAACACAGTGGACATGTTAGCGAAAAGAACCAAATGCAGCAATGGGGAGTGGGATGGGGGGTAAACACTCAGCTCACAATGACCTTGGCTACCTGTTTGCCACATACTACACGGGGTTCTTGTCTACCCTAGAGAGTCAGCTCCTAATTCTCAGGTGAGCAGACGTCTAACTGCATCGAAAACTGAAATGGTTGGCTTAAGTTTCCATTACCTTCTTGAAGAGAGGTCATGCTTTAAATTATTTTTCAGATTGTAGCCAGCTGAGCTAGGCAAAAGCCATACTTTTCACAGTAAGAAAACAATTCTGAGTAGTCAGGTTTCTCATATCCATTCTGACAGGAAAGCCTGACAATGGTAAATTGCTTTGAGATATAATACTGAACTTCGGTATGAATGTGACTGAATCTGAAAGTTCGGGAATTTGCTTCAGCCACAAAGAAGAAGCCAAATAACGGGAATTATGGAAACAAACCACCTTGGACCAACCTGCAGCATCGAGTACAAGTGAAGCTCTCATCCTGTCTACATTCATTTCACATGACCTGGCCTGGGCGGAGTGATTAAGTGGCCAGCTTTGTGGTTTTAGAAGGCAAATAAAAGATGGTGAACAGGATTAACACAAAATTTCATCAACTACTATGTTTAATTGTATCAAGAAGATCCTGAAAGCAAGATTATCCAGTAGATAAATGAGTTTTTTCAGTGGCTTCTGTCAGTTCAAAAAAAAAGATAGAAACAAAACTTCTTTATGGTTTTCTTGTCTAAGACACTATATGTATACTTTTTCCATTCCTTGCATTTTTTAAAGGCAGGTTTAAAAATACTCAGCATAGGATCCAGCAAAGGTGGCTGAGCTTAATTGCTTAAACGAGTTCTAGAAACTTTAAAAATCATTTTAGTAGAATTCAGTGCTGTTGTCACTGCAATAAGTGGGTTTTAGAAACTGAGTGTGAAAAAATCAGGTGTTAATACAATACTAAGGATAAAGCTTTAGAAGCTATTTTACTACATAGGTAAAGAAAAGATCAACTAACTTGTAACAAAGACCACAACTGCATGTTGGATTGGATTGTCTCATATTCCAGAATAAAATGTACTGTATACTTTTCCTCACTCTGTTGTGCATTGTAATGAAATGTGGAAAAATGTTTTCTTTAGCTGTATGTGAATGAGAATTTGCTTGTATTTAGTAAAATGGTTGATTATGTGACTGTGAGATTCCGAGTGTGTGTTGTAGCTGTTTCCAGAGTCTGTCACCACAGTAGTAACCATTGTAGGTTATCCGTTATGTATGACATATACTATGCAAAAGAGTCTTCACTGGTATCTCAAAGCCAGAACAAGAATATGAGTTTTGAAAGTTATGTAATCATCGTGTTGAAAGTCACAGAGACCTCACTACAGCCTGAGAATCCCATGACACCAGCTAGCTGTTCACAACTATTGTCATCCCTGGAAAGTCTTCTTTTCCACAGGCTAAATTGTCTCAGCTGTTCTGAGTCCTACTCTATGATATCCGTTTTGTGCCAGGATCGCTTGGAGTGTGGGGCCCAGATTGGAACACAAAAGTTCAGAACACTGCCTGTGGTTGATAGTGCATATTTAGGGGAGGGGAAAAAAGGGAAAGATGTTTGATTCTGAGTCTGGGCATAGGAAGGCTGAATTATGCACAGCTTTATCATTTTTATAGTCATGAGTGAAGGAAGGAGGAGGGAAGGTAGAAAGGAAAAACCAACAATGCAACAGCATTTCATATAGTTAACATCCCATTCTCCTTAAAACACTCCTTATAATGCCAGGGTCTGATCATCTTTTCTTTGGTTAATTCCTTTGGTGACCTTATTCTGTCCCGTGTCTGTAAATACCACGTTATAAGCCAATGAGTCCTGAATGTAGATCTCCAGCTTGTCTCCTTCCCATGGACTCCAGACCTTTATAAATAGCTGCCGACCCAGCATGTCCACTTGAATGTCTATCAGGCATCAGAAACGTAACATGTCCCAGACCAAGCTCCTAACCTTCCTCCCCAAATGTATTCTTCCCATAGCCTTTCCTTCCTCAGTAAATGGCAACTTTGTCTTTCTGTGTACTTTTGCCACAAACCTTGGAGTCATCCTTGACTCCTCTCTTTCATAGTCCACATGGGATCTATCTGGCTAGGCTGGCTCTACCTTAAAAGTAACCAGAATCAGACTCAGGTGAAGATGTTGAAACGTTCTTCAAATGCACCAAGCACATTCACACCTCAGGGCCTTTGTACTTGCTCTTTACTGTATCTGGAATTCTCTTTCCTGAGATGACTGCCTGGATTTCTCCCTCACCCCCATCAAGTTCTGAAACCAACAGCCTCCAAAATCTGCAAGCAGCTTCCTGATTCTCGAGAAGATGTAGCTCCAGAAGTTGTCCCTGACAGCTCAACGTAGCATGTAACTCCCTAGTCTTCCCTGGAGAACAACAGAGTTTCGGTATACAATAAAGGGCAGAGAAACTTGGGAGGAGAGAATGGAAAACCTGGAGAGTGTAGCTTCACAGGAAGGAGTGGACAGTAGTATCACAATGCAGCAGTGGATTCAGAAAGCTAATGACTAAAATATGTCCATGAGATTCAAGGGAGCCGGAAGTCACGAGCGACCTTTGTCAGCACAGCGTTGGTGGAATGATTTCTGCCTATACCATGGCCCTTAGGGCGTTGTTCTCAGTTCTGTTGGAAGTCCAACTCTTTCCTTTTCTTTTTTTTTTTTTTTCCAGTTCTTTTCCTTGCTCTCCATGTTCTCCTCTCCCTAGACAATCTTACCTTTGCTCGTGACTTCAGTTATTGTTTTGGCATTGAGGACTCCCCGATGGAGGACTCCAGCCCATTCTTTTGAGCGTTATACCAATACGGCCAACTCGCCCACTGAACACATGCACAAATTCCTCATACTCAACATATCCAGTATGAAACCAGCATCTATCAGAATGTGTTCCTTCCACCCCAATCTTTCTCATCTCTACAAACGACACCACCATCCAACCCTTTGTTCAACACAGAAACCTAGCAGTTATCCTTAATCCCTCGCTTCTCCCCACCTCCTGTATCAAATCCATCTCCACTGCAGTGCCATTGCTATCACCTATGTCCGGGCTGCTGCCAACTCTTTCCTGAACTACTCTGGTATCTTCCTAAGTGGCCGCCTTACTTTCTGTTCCTATTCCCAAAATACATTCTCAACATAACAGCCAGAATGAATGGTCTTTTCAAAACAGAAAACAGATCAAGTCATTCTGCTTACTACCCACCAATGGTTTCTCATCACATTTAGAACAAAATCCAAATAAACCTTACATTTCTTAACATGACAAGGCCTTGCAAGATCGGGCCTCTCTGCCTACTTCTCCAGTTGTAAGTTCCACAAATGTCAGAATCTTATTCGTCTTGTTCACCATTGTTTCTGCAACCTGTGACATACACCTATTTTTCAATAACCAATAAATATTTGAATGAATGGTTGTTTTATTCCCCTACTCTAATCCAATGACCTTCACTATTACTTCACTTCAGTAAAATACACACATGGCCCTATCCTAAAGTATGGCCAAATTTTTTCTTTTATTTTGAGAGACAAAAAGAGCACGAGAGCGAGCATGAGTGGGGGAGGGGCCGAGAGAGGGAAAGAGAGAATCCCAAGCAGGCTCCAGGCTGTCAGCACAGAGCAGGACACAGGGCTCGATCTCACGACTGAGATCATGAC